ACCATCTACTACATTCTCCCTCTGGTTAAATGTGTAGCCACTGCAAATTACTGCAGAGTGCTTTTGGCCACAATGGCGTGTTACTCCAATTCTGGGTACCTTCGCAGAGACTTGACAAGATCCTAGGCAGTTCACTCAGTGAAACAGCAAATCGTCCTCCTTCCTCAAGACTTTTCCCAGTATCTTATATCCCTCTAAGGAGCCCACTGCAATATGCAAAGTTCATTTAGAGGCAGCTAAGTGGTGCAACAAGCTATAGGCTCCCCGCCCCTGCCATAGGCAATTTATTCTTCATTCTGCTTAAAGTGGTAGTGCAAATGAGAAGACAGCCTTTCCTGGCCTTCCCTGGCCTTCCCAGCATTCCTGATCTGTTACAAGACCCCTGCTATGTTCCCTTTGAATTCTCTGGGTCCTCTCTTGGTCCATGGTGCAGCAGAGAGAAGAAGGTATGTGACTGTGTGACAAAGCATCCTGGGAACCAAAGTCAGTGTAGATGTCTAATGATTGCGGAAGGGCTCAACCAACTGTGACATGAACTTAGTAAAAGGCCACATGTGGCCTCGAGGCTGCAGGTTCCCCACCCCTGGTCTACGGTAGGATGAGAAAGGGACTGTAGATCACATTTGGTGTGGAGACATGCATACACTAATAAGAACACAGCAATGCAGACTGATGGAAGAATAGCAAAGGCTTGCCCACCTCATGCTCAATCCAAGGGATACTACTCATTAAATGAATGACTGCAAAAGTCCCATACTATTTAAATTGACTTTCTTTCCCTCCCTTTGTTTTTAAAATCACATACAATTCAATGCTGTAATGCTATTTCACTGTAAGAAGAATTCAGAGAAATATGAGAAGACAGAGGCTCCTAGTTGGTGAGTGCTGGGCCTGGAGTCAATAAGACCTAAGTTTAAATCCAGCCCTAGTTAAGTGTCTTACTAACACACTTACTGCCAGTGCAATGTCAGACCAGTCACTTAACCTCTGTTTGCCTCAGTTTCCTCAACTGTAAAATGGGGATAACAAAAGCACCTACCTACCAGGGTTATTGGGAAGATCAAATGAGTTAGTATTGGTAAAGCATTTAGTACAATGCCTGGAACATAGTAGGAATGATAAAAATGCTGGCTATTATTATGATTATTAATTATTATTACTTGTATCAACTGACAAGGAGTGAAATTAGTAGGCTTAAGGGAAAATAAAGTTCCCCAATGATACAATAATATAAATGAAAATAACAGAACAATATTCAACTAGATTGACCAATTTTGTCTCTAGAGAAGAAATGAAGAAATGCAGTGCCCTCTTTTTGTTGGAGGAGATGGAGGACTGGGGGTATGGAATGTTGTCAGAGGTGTTGTGGAGACTGGTTTTGCTTAACTATTTTTATTAATTTCTGGGGAAGGCTCAATGGAGAGGGGAGTAGCAGGGGTTACTCTTGGAATGAGGAAGTAACTACGGTGCAAAAACAAAAGGAAAAAATAAAACTTTAAAAAACATACTGCGAATTCTCATATAATCACAATCTTTAAAAAAAATTGGCACACTTTTTCCCTGTGATCTTTGCTAATACACAAAGGTACAAACCATCTGTGTTTTCATTGGGGTAGGGAACTATCAGTGTGGGGAACTCCTTCCACCAAGGAGATTGTGAACAATCTTGTGTCTTAGTAAATAAGTTATTGGGAGTTGCCAAAAACTATACTTTGCTAAATGACTTGTCCAGGGTCACAAAGCTAGCTAGCTTCAGAGGCAGGACTTGAATTTGGTCTGCTCTGTCTCCAAGCACAGCATTCTAACCACCAGTATACGTTACGTCATTTTTTTTCAGACAAGGCTAAAAATTTATCTAAATCAGAGACATCTGTGTACCAGTGACAGGGTGCTTGTGCTTGTACTTGGATCCCAATTTCTCCCTAGTCTCAGAAACACTGTCTCTGACAATTTCTCCCCAGCCCAAGGACACTGTGCCTAGCAATTACTCACGAGTGGGCCCCCAGCAAACCCTAATCTCTCTCCCTAGTGCAGCTACACAAAGCTGGGCTGCTCAGGCCCCAGCCCTAAAATCATGTCTCTGGAAGCCTCCCAATTCCTCAGTAAGCTCCTGTCTTGTGAAAAAACTTTCCCTTGTTACAGAGCATTGTCTAATCAGGACAGAGAGAGAGGGGTATCTTGTCTGGCCCAAGGAGTTTTGTCCCTGGCTGGCCCAAGGACTCTTCCTCCTGCCAGATTCCCAAGATCCATGCCTCTGACATCTCCTTCTCTGTCTGGTGTACTCCCTGCACTTTCCCATTCATAGCTCCCAAAGACACCTGGACCTTTAGATGACCTAATCAGCCTCCCCAGCATTCTTTTCCCATGCCCTTTTCCATATAAACCCTAGCTCCATCCTCAGTCTCTTGCAGGTTCCTTAGGAATCCTTGCCCACTGAAAAGCGTAACAATAAACTTTCTGCCAACTTGACTTAAAGAAAGCTTGAGTCTATGAATTCATTCCAGACCACCCCATCCTGTATGCCACTCTTGGAGGGGTCTCCACCTCTCAGACCACAACACCAGGACCTGGATGGAGAGCTTCCTGTTTGTTTCACACCTGACACCCTCCATTGCCTGAAGCCAGAAAAAGATACAGAGAACAAGGTGGATGTCCATCAGCTGAACAATGAAGGGCTAAAACATTACAGGATGCGGATGTGCTAAAATACCTGGATTGCCTTTTTTCCTTATCCCACCTCAAAATCTTTAGCTTTCTTCAAAGCTTAGGTCAAGGACCACTTCCCACCTGAGGCTTTTGCTGATAACCTCAGCTGCTGGTGCCACCTCCCAGAAAATCAACTTGCATTTGTCTGTATTTGTATGTGTACATGTTGACTTCTCAGACAGCATAAAAATTCCTTGAGAACAAAGACAGTTTGAATTTCCTCTTCGTATCACAGAACCTGGAATATCATAGGCACTTGATAAATGCTTGTAGGCTGATGTGATGGATTGTTACTATGAAGTAAGAAATGATGAATAAGAAGAATTCAGAGAAATGCAGGGAGATTCATATGAACCAGTGTGGAATGAAAATAATCAGAACCAAGCAGATAACATTGCACAATGAAGGCCCTGTAGAACAAATAATGAAATGTATTTCCCAACTTGGGCCACTAGGTGGCGCCATAGTGCATGGAGTGCTGGGCCTGGAGTCAGGAAGACTCATCTTCCTGAGTTCAACTGTAACTGGATGACCCAAAGCAAGTCACTTAACTGTATTTGCCTCAGTTTGTTCATCTATAAAATGAGCTGGAAAAGGAAATGGCAAACCACTCCAATATCTTTGCCAAGAAAACCCCAAATGAGGTCACAAAGACTTGGACACAAGGTATTACAATACGTATGGTATCAGATGCAGTGAATGTATCAGCTGTTTTTTCCCACTTATTTTTGTTTGTCATAAGAAAAGTTTTATTCTAGAGGGAGATTTTGAAATATCTGTAATATAAAGACAAAGAGCATCAATAATATGCATTTAAGAAAAAGCAGGATGGAAGGGGAGAGGGGAAAGTATAGTAGATGGGGGAAAGAGAAGAGGAAAGGGGAAAGAAGAGGGGGAAGGGAAAGGAAGCAAGAACAGGAGGAAAAGGAAGAGAAGAGGAAGAAGATGGAGGAAGAAGGGAATGGAAAGGAGGATGAAAAGAAGAGGAAGAGGGGAGGGAACAGAGGGAAAGTGAGGAGGGCAGAAGGGGAGAGAAAGGATAAGGGGAGAGGACGAGGAAAGAGAAGGAAGAGGGATAGAGAGAAGAAAGTGAGGGAGGAATAGGGGCATAAAAGAAGGGAAGGAGAGGAGAGTGGGAGGGGCAGGAGAGAGTGAAGAGAGAAAAAAAGGGAAAGCAGAACCTCAAGTAGGCTTAATGAAAGGTAGAAGCTGTCTCTGTAGAGAAATTAAAATACGTCCTTGAAATCAATATTTTAATAACATCATATGATGAATTTTTTAGTGTAGGGAGGCAAATAATATCTATTTTTATCATCTTTAGTCATTAATTAGGGGAAGGTTTTACTACGTAAGGTAAGAGAAGACTGGAGGCAATTAAGGATGGGATTGGTAATTTTATTTTTCAGATTTATTCTGGCTATGCTCCTCACTGCTACTACCAAGCTGCCAGATCTCCTTGTTGGGTGATAAAAATCTGCCTACTGGGCCAAGTGATGGGTAGAGGTTGCAAAGAGGCAACTCTAAACCTGAAAAACTTCCCAATAGGCAAAGCTGCCCAGAAGGGAAATGGGTTACCTCTGGAAGAACTGGATAGCCTCTCAATAGAGGTCTTCAAGCAAATTTTGGATGACTATTTGTTAAATTTCCTGTAAAGAAGATGCTTCTTTCATGATGTGTTGAATGAGATAGCCACGAGGTCCCTTTTAATGCTTGAGATTTTGTGATTTGTGGGTGCAGGAACTGCAGTGACAATTTTGACTTGAAAATGAAGGGCAAAAAGAATTACATTTCTTTTTTCTTTTTGGCTAGGCAATGGTGTTAAGGGACTTGCCCAAGGTCACACAGCTAGTAAGTGTTATGTGTCTGAGGCCAGATTTGATCTTGAGTCCTCCTGACTCCAGGGCTGGTGCTCTATCCACTGTGCCAACTAGCTGCCCTAGAATTACATTTCTAATGTACAAAATCAGAAGACTCAGTGCTCTAAATAGTACACCTGAGCCTAAAGGAATTCATGAATTCTATGGCTTCCTCATTAATGCACCATGTACCCTTAGATTGGTCATAGTTCTTGGATACAGAGAAACAATGGTGATAGTAAAGGCCATGAACATAAGATATGTAAGCAAATAGGTCCATGACAAATAATGAGCAAGAAATACAGGAATCAAGGAGATGACAGAGTCAAAAGTCCATCCACAGTGCCTCAGCCATCCAGTACCAACGCTTTCCATGTATGATACCAGGTAATGTCACTTCACTGTGAGTCAAAAGAATAATTGCCTCAAATGACTTACCATGTTTGTGGATGAATGCAAGTCCCTGTAGTATCTGGTACATAATATTCCTAATAGCAGACTCAGGAAACAACTTGTTTCTATAGTAGGTAGAGAAAGAAAAATCAAGTTGTAAGTCTAGGTTAACACATAAAAATATATTCTCTGTTACTGAGTTTTTATGACAATAATAGGCAAGAAGTGAAGATAGCAGTCATATAATAATAGAGGCCTTTCCAATAATATCAGGGGTAAAGCAAGGCTATCCATTGTCACCACCAATATTTGCTATGCTACCTATAGTAATAAAATAAGAATAAGAAAATGAAGGAATAGGTATAGGTAAATGTATCACTTTATGCAGATATATGATGGTTTATCTACAGATCCCTAGAGACTCGACTAAAAATTGAAATTATTAACTTCAGTAAAGTAACAGCATATAAAATAAATCTACAAAATAAGCCTTTTGCATGTTACTAACAAAACCCAACAGAAAGAGATAGAAAAAGAAATTTAATTGAAAATCAATACAGAATGTATAAAATATCTGGGTTACTTACCACTTACCAACACACTGAAGAATTATATGAGTATAACTACAAAAAAATTTTTATAGAAATAAAGAAGACTTAATTAATTTGGATAGGAATTAATTGCTTATATTTGGGCCATGCCAAGATAATAACAATGAGATAATATCCAAACTAATTTACCAAAGGATAGCTTATAGAATGAAAAAATTATTTTAAAAATCCACCTAGAGGAACAAAAGAACAAGAATCTCAAGAGAAATAATGAAAAATGACAGGAAAGAAGAGGATCTAGAAGGAACCAGATCTCAAACTACATAATAAAACAGTAATCATCAAAACGATTTGATAACAGTTAAAAGAAATAATAATAAAAAAAAGAAATAGTAAGGTTATAGGCCAAAGAATAAAAGAAAAAGAAAGAAAAGAGAGTCATTAAACCATGTTTTTTAAAATGCTCAGAAGAGAATAGAAGGCCAGGAAAAAAAGCCACAGATAAGCAGGGAAGCTTTGAAAGTTCATGTCAGATTTATTGCACACTTAAAAGGAAGAGCAAGCTATATAATAGAGATTTATGATTTCACATTCTACTTAGTATATAGCTAGTTGGCGCAGTGGATAGAGCATTGGCCCTGAAGTCAGGAGGGCCTGAGCTCAAATCTGGCCTCAGACCAAACACTTGACACTTACTAGCTGTGTGACCCTAGGCAAGTCACTTAACCCCAACTGCCTAAAAAAAAAAAAAGAGGGGGCACCTAGGTGGTACAGTGGATAGAGCTCCAGCCTTGGAGTCAGGAGGCCCTGAGTTCAAATCTGGCCTCAGACACTTGACCCTTACTAGCTGTGTGACCCTGGGCAAGTCACTTAACCCCAATTGCCTCACCAAAAAAGCAAAAAAAAAAAAAAAGAGGGATGCAAACAACAAAATTTTATTGAGTGTCTAAAATTCAGGGAAAAAATTGTTTTTATTTTTGTTTTAAGTTCAGAATACATTAAATAAGATTTTAAATTGAAAATTTGATCAGTGGAGTAAATTTGGTATATAAGATTCATAAGCAATGGAAACACAAGATCACAGTGTTCACTAAACCCAAGGACACAAATTATTGAGATAAGTAAAGACTTACTATTCAACAAAACCTGCCAAGTAAATTTTGGAAAGCAATCTGGGAGAAATTAAGCTAAAAGCATCTCTCACCTTATGCAACAATACACCCCAAATGGATCCACAATCTAGGCATAAGAGGCCATATCAGAAACAAATTATAAGAGAATGGAAGGAAATAACTTTGATATGTGAAGAATTCTTGACCCACAAAAAAGGGTCTTGATGACATCTAGAACTACTGTCACCTCAGATCAGCATCATCCATAGTATGTGGATTTCTCATTACTGTCCTCTAAGCATTATAACAATGAAGGAATTCAACAGAATTTCGGGGTACTTTTGAAAGTGTATAGTCTCTAAGGAAATAAAGCTGTGCCTACTCTCTTGGGTAAAATGACATATTTATGTGTTCGATTGGATTAGATGATGAATGCTGTGAATAACCATAGTGAACAGTTAATTTAAAGGTTTTAAAGTGGACTTCTGTTGTGTCACTGTGAGTCTTTTCCTGTGTAATCTTGGTCTCATCTTCAGCCTTTCAAATAATGGGAAATTTCAAAAGCCTCAGCCCAAGTATCTTGGCTATTAAAAGGGAGAAAGAGAAGCAGAAGATTTATAGTCTCTATAAAGCACTTAGCATAGTACCTGGCAAACAGGAGGTACTTAATAAATGCTGATTGATTGATTGATTACAGCCAAGCAAAAGCAGGAAGAAGGAAAGCATCCTTGGGAGAAATGTCTTTCTAAAACAACTTCCCCAAACTGTACCTTTCTTTCATTAGCTGATAAAGGTTTTCCTTCATGTATTCAAAGATAAAATAAAGGTTATCATTTTCCCTGATGACTTCTTTCAATTTCACTACATTTGCGTGGTTGAGCTTCTTTAAAGACTGGAAAAAAAGAAAGAGGAAAGATTTTGGTTAGAAAAATAAAATCTTTTACCTTCTATTTACTAATAACATCTAACATTTATGGAATGCTTTAAAGATTACACCACACATACTCTCTCATTTGAACCTTTGAGGTAGATAATACAGATATTACCCCCTTTTTTACAGACAAGGAAATTAATGGGGCGGGGGAAGGGAGGCTGAGGCTGGTGGATCACTTGAGCTCAGGAGTTCTGAGCTGCAGCATAAGCTAAGGCTGTTTGGGTGTTGGCACTAAATCTGGCATGAATATGATAAGCTCCCACGAATGTGCACGGGGAAACCAGGTTGCTTAAGAAGGGGCAAACCTGGCCAGGTCAGAAACAGAGCAGGTTAAAGCTTCTGCGGATGATCAGTATGAGCACTGAGCCCCCGACTGGCCACTGCATTTCTAGCTTAGGCAAAACAGGGAGACTCAATCTCAAAATAATAATAATGAAAAAAAAAATCTAAGGTCAAGAGAAATGACTTGCCTGTGATCACGCAAATAGCTGTTAAAGACAAGTGTTGAACCCAGCCCTTTCTGACTCGAGTCCAATATGCCTTGGTACCCTAACTTAGAAGGGTTTTTTTACCTTTTTTTGTGTCACAGAACCCTCTGTCAATCTAGTGAAGCCTATGGCCACCTTCTCAGAATGTTTTAAAATGCATAAAATAGAACAAGCAGCGAACAAAAGAAAACTGACAAGGACAGCTCTCAACACAATTTGTAGTAATTATTATATCGACTTTTTTTTTTAGCCAAAGACAAGGTTTATTAGAACATCCATCATATTCGGCAGAAGCTTAAGGAATCTGAGCATTAGTAAGAGCTGTAGGCTTATTGGCTAGATTATAAGAATCTAAGCAGTGGCTAGATTTTAGGAATCTGAGCAGTGGCTAGATTATAAGAATCTAAGCCTATAGATTTTCTTGACGTGGAAATTTATTGCTATATGTTTTGAATCCTTTCTTATGTTCTGCTATATGTACATGACATGCTTTTTTCCATATTTGGTATTTAATTTTCAATATTTAAGTTTATAATATGTGTCTTTTCCTTATTGTGTATTTAAGTTGCAGTAATAAAAAAGCAAAAAAAATGCATAAAATACATAGGATTATGAAGTAATCTAATTATGTTAAAATATAGTTAAAAACAAGATTTTGGAAACCAGGTTAAGAACACTTGCTCTATATTCTATACCCACAAAAACACTATTTATAGCATTTGGTTAATATTATAAATGGGAATTTTAATGAAGGAAATGTTTCTTTGAAACCATTAATAACGTCCTATGGAACAAAGATTTTGACAATCCATATTGTAAAGTACTTCCTTGGTTCTTACCCATTATTCTGTGCCAGACAATGCAACAAGCCCTGCAGGCATTATGAGCTTACCTGACTGCTTCCAGATGTAGGAATCTGGAAATAACTAGACAAGAATCAATAAAGAAAGCTGCCCTTTTTTTCCCCCCGGCTGCAGATATGGCAGCTGCTTCCTGCTGAGATCACTAGCCTTATAAGTGTTCGCATAAACTTTGAAGTCAGAATGGCTGAGCACAGCCAAGGCAGATGGCCAGATTCTTAAGCATTCTTCCATCTTCCTCTCTGTGTTTTATTCCATGTACTGGGCTGCCCCTTCTCAAGATCTGTGAACTTTAGGCGTTCAGGAAACATCCAGAATTGTAGGGGAAGGAGGGAGGGAGGAAAAGGAATAAAGGAAGGAAAAAAGATAAAGAGAGAGATAGAAAAATAGAGAAAGAGAGAGCTTTAATGACCCTATAGCAACATGACAGGAACCATTTGTCTGAAAAAGCAGCAAAGGCAGAAGAAACAGGGCAAGCAAGAATGAATGAATGAATGAATGAATGAATGAAAATGTATTGTCAAGTACTTCCTATGTGCCAAGTGCTCTAATAAGTACTGGGGATACAAATAGAAAAAAAAAAGCGAGGGGCAGCTAGGTGGCACAATGGATAGAGCACTGGCCCTGTAGTGAGGAGGACCTGAGTTCAAATCCAGCATTTTAGGCACTTGATGTCTGACCCTGGGCAAGTTACTTAACCTCAGTTGCCTCACCCCCCAAAAAAAATCTATTAAGGAGAAGCTAATTGGCACAGTGGATGGAGCACCAGCCCTGGAATAAGGAGGACCTGAGTTCAAATCTGGCCTCAGACACTTGACACTTACTAGCTGTGTGACCCTGGGCAGGTCACTTAACCCCACTGCCTAGCCAAAAAGAAAAGAAAAAGGAAAAGAAAAGAAGTGAGGCAGTCCCTGCTCTCATGAAACTCACATTCTAATTGAAAGAGACCACACGTAAAAGAAAGTTAGGCTTCAGGATGGATAGAGAAGCCCAGAAATCCCTGAGGTTTATAACTAGGGCAGCTGGCAAGCTCCAGGGCTCCTTAGGTTGCATCCGTAGGTCCAATAATAATGACAGTACTAATAATAGCTAACATGATACAGTGCTTTAAGGTTTGCAAAGAGCTTTTACATGAATTCTCTCATTTCAATCTCACCACAATCGTGTGAGGTAAGTGTTATGATTATCCTTATTTTACAGATGAAGAAACTGAGGCCAAAAGAGGTTACATGACTTGCCCAGGGTCATACAACCAGCATCTAAGTCAGGATTTGAATTGTTATCTTCCTAATACTCTAACACTTGATGCAATTTCCCCCCTATGTGATTTTTATGATAGTGCCAGGGATCTTGGGAGGCAGGGTAAATGGTTATGCCTGGAAGACCGTGGAGGTAATACCAGGGTATGGATGGTAGGGCCTCAAGGTCTTCCATTTCATTATTAGGAATAGAACTGATTCCTGCCATCTGATTCAAACAGTGTTATCAGTCAAGCAGCTAAGATAGGTACAGAGGATAGGGGGTAGGGATAAGGGGAAGGTACTGCTGTTGGACCACTGGTTCAGACAGGTTCTAGAGGAGATCAAGCAAACAGGAATAGTAGAACAGCCTAGAACACAGTCCATTCTATCTTTACACCATCTTTATATTTAGTGATGAAGACTAAATCTATTTTTTTAATCAGTAGTAGCCCTATAAAACAGCAACAGGTCAGACACACTATAGTTAGTAAAACCCATCAGATAAACTAATATTCTGCGTCCTTCTGAATTTGGTCCTCTTTGAAGAAAACCAAAAAAAAGTAATCTTGGCCACCTGGGCAAATTCTTTAACTCAAAGAACGTTTTGTTTCCCACAGAAAAGGATCAACTGTATTAATAACAACGTTAAGAAGTCCACTGGCTTTTTTTTCCATAGGTTATCATAGAACATCACAGCTGAAAGGGGTCAGAGGGAATATCTAATTATCCAAACCCCTCATTTTCCAAATTAGGAAACTGAAGCCCAGATGGAAGAATGACTTCCCAAGGTTTCACAGTTAATGACAGAGCCAGACTGGAACCCAGGTCTCTTTGATTCCTGGTCTTGGGTGCTTGTTCTATTATGCCATGCTAGCTCTGTCATTCTGGTTAAGAAAAAGGAGAAATTAAGAAGATTTTCCTGAAGAACAAAATGTTGAAATAAATCAGATCTGAGCACAGAAAGAAACTCACTAATGAGGGAGACGACCAGGGTTTAGCAGTTGGGTAGAGGTGGTACTTGTACTCCTATTAGCTGGGAAATGAGGCAAAAGGTGGTTAGTGAACAAAAACAAAATTTTAAAAAGCAAAACCAGTCTCCTTTGAGGCCTGTTCCCTAAAAGACAAACTCTTGCCAAGGCATTTTCCTGGCACTTCAGCCTCATCTGCTTGGCCCAGCCTGCTTCTCCTGCCTGGAACGCCTTGAACTAGCTGGCTGATTCTACCTCCTTCTTGGGTCGGGCTCCTTGTTCTCCATGGGTAACTGGCATAAACAATGGCCAAACTGCAAATGGCCACTCAACCCCTTTGGTGTTTCTAATCTTTTTTTTTCCTGCCCGTTGGCTTAAAACAGATCACAGGCAATAAACCTGCTGTCTCAGAATAGTGAGATGGCCCAGAGGAAAATTAATTCAGAGACAAATGAAGTCATGGTCAGAGTCTTTTCCAAGCAGAGAGTTCTAGTCAGGGAGTAGAGTATCTCTAACTGTTGGCCTGAGGGGGAGCATCATAAGCTAAGATTGCTTCTTTAAGCTGAAGAGAATGGTTCCTACAGAACTCTACTTCTGAGAAGAATTAATGCTTGGGGGCAAGTTATATCCAATTTTCATCTACTTGTAAAATACACACACACATATGCGTGCGTGTGTGTGTGTGTGTGTGTGTGTGTGTGTGTGTGTGTGTGTACTCACAGAATGCCCCTGAATACTATTTCCAAGAAAGAGGTCCCTCCCCTTGGCAGACTGGGCTGTATCGGGCACAGAACGCAGAGCAGGAAAGTTATATATGGGGCATAGGTCATTTGTTTTCAAAAGGGCCTTCTTCTGAAAAAGGATCATTGTTTTTAAAGGATCCAGTCCAGCCTTCTGGACGATTCAGATGTAAGCTATCATTAATAACAAGAAGCTTTTATCTAGTAAGACAAGACACTTGGTGCTGCACCAGTCACACAGTAAAAAAGCATTTATTAAGCACCTACTATGTGCCAAGCAGTGGGCATACAAATGCAAAGAATAAAATGTTTTCTACTATTTAGGAGCTTATTATATTCAAATGGAAGGTGGAATGTCTGATGTGAGGAACAGAGAGAATTCTGGTAAGACTGAAAAGTGTATGTGGGAGGGGGAAGGAATGCATAAAGGACGAAGAAGAAAGGAGGGAACTATGCATGACCTTCCTGGTGAAGCCTCTTCTGATACCCACAGCCTCTATTTCCTCCCTCCCAAAGTACCTTGTATTTAATTACATTGTATCTATTTTCTTTATAATTTAAGAGATTTATTTGCATTTATTCTCCATCTTTGAGCCTTTGCACTGGCTGGAAGGTACTCCCTTTTCTGTGATAGCTGAATATACACATATAAATGCATACA